TAGGTAATGTACCACCCTGCAGTGTTGATACACTTACTGCATCAGAGGTGTTTAACCTGTGCCCATAGACCTTGTCGGGCTTGCTAGAACAGTTAATTCCGGTGGCAGTTGAGAGGGAGCTGGACTGTCTCCCCGGGGCTCCACAGCCTGGCAGGGGCAAGTTCCAGACTGGTTGACTGCGTCTGACAGCAACAGCCTGTTCCCCAGGCGTCATCTCTTGCTAAGGTCTTGCAGCTCACCCCATCTCACATTAAGACATGCATACCCACTGCTGGGTAGACCTGGGGACACAGGACCCCGGGAAGGATAGCGACCACAATAGGCTGCTGTTTCAGAACAGTTACTCTGGATCACGGCTTGCTCCCTCCTCGGATCTAGGTAGCCTTTGGGAAAGAGGATGGCACGGGAAGGTGACAGGAATTCCCGCTGCACAGCGTGCTTGTGGTGGTGCTTTTTCCTGGGGTGATCGTGGGACAAGGTGGGCAGAGAACTGCTCGTGGAACGTGTGTTGAACTCGCGCCTCTGGGAGGTGTCAGCCCAGCAGCACTTGTGCAGGGTAGTTGTGCGTTATGCACACAGGCAATGAGGTTGTGGGAGGAGAAGGGCTGTGGACACAACTTCTCCTGGCCGTGGGAGGAAGATGTGATACTTGGCCTTTTCCGTTGGATTAGATGTCTCTTATTCTTGATGGTACTTCAGGAAATACTAGCTTCCTGAATAGCGAATCACTGACTCTTCTTTGCATGGAAGTTAACTGTAAATGAATTGTGTATTCTATAAAAAAAATGAGCAGTGATCTATAGAAGCTGTTTTTTCTAGACTGATTTCAGACCTACATGCTTCTTGTAGTGCTTACCAATTGAAAATTGGACTATTCCAAATTAACTCAAACTGAGGATCAGTGTTACCAACTTCACTTTGGTTACAAACGCTCAGGATGCCAGACAGTGATGGACAAAACTGGCTTATGTATGACCTTTATAGTGCACAGATGTCACTGCAGGTTAATCATTACCTCAAATTTGTGAAGTATCCAAGGGGTTGCTTTAAGTGAAACTGGCCAAGTGTAATTGTTTTCTGTAGTTACATGACTAACCTCTTAGTTGTCCCTGAAATAATTTTTGATACCTAACTGCAAATGCAAGATTGCTTTTTGCAGTAAGACAGCCCTCAATTAATCTTGCAGCCAGATGATAAAACTGATAAAATGCAAAATAGCCATGTTGCGTTTGATAGTTTGTGATTTGTCTTGCAGTGCAACTGAAATAGAGGGGTGTTGGAAATAACATTTTTAGATATTTTTTTTTCCATATCTTAACACACCAGAAGCAATTCTTTTAAAAAAGAAATAACTAATGCTTGCTCTCTGTTATTAGAAAACTTTAAAAGACAGAATTTGGTCTGTGGCAACTTTTTAGAGCGGTGGTCTGTCTGTAGTACGTTACTGTGTATGTAGGGTGGAAAGAATACTGGTATTGTTTGGCTGCTCACTGTCAAAGCGTGCTACCGCTCTACCTCTGGTAAACACCTGCAGTGTCGGACTGCTTTTGTTAACACATGCAGCATGAGTTGATGGGTACTTGTAACAGTCACCCTAAAAGTGGTAGAGGAGAAAAGGGATGCTGGACATACAATAAATCAGTGTTATTCCAACAGAAGGGAGCACTGGGAAAAGACACAAGTAGAGGATGAAATCGGATTTGCAGCGAGAACAAAGATCTCGGCAAGTAGGGATGAAAACTGGTTTCTGTTTGTATTGGTTGCTGTACAGATACATGTAGCCATGCTCCAAAGGTTTTTTGTTTACAGAGAGAAATCAGAAAAGATACTTGTAATTAAATAAAGAAATACTCGTTAATTTTGTGAATATAAAACTTTCCTCCCTCTGGACAAATTGATTTTTACCATCTAGATAAAGTCTAGCTGTTGTCTGGCAGTATTAATAGTAATAAAAATAAATTTGAGAAAAATGCTTGAGTTAGTTACCCAAAATGTGGTCATATGATTTTTTTTTTTGTCTTGTGTGCTAATGTTAATAGTCTCAGAAGTTTCTGTGCCCTATAAATATTTAAAGTATTGCAGGCTTTTTTCTCCCACAATGAATGTCATGTGAAAGTACTACTGTTTGAAACTAATATTAATAATAGCCAAGTGGCCACAAGCTTTGAAATTTAAATACAAGTATCGTTATTACGGCATTGTCCCTACTGGGAGGAGAACCACTTTCAACATCTTGCTGAAGAATCTCACAACGGGACAGAAGACTAGTTTTAAAGTTTAAAGGTAGAACTCAAGTGGGCAGCAATGATGTGATAAATAAAAAGAATGGCAGAATTATGCAGAATGCAAAATAGAATAAGCTGCTGGCTACCATAAAGGAGGGGACCTGATGAGCTGCTGTTTAGTATTACTTACATTGGTACCACCTACAGTGAGAGGCAGGTGCCGTAAGAGTGCTGTTTTGTCTAATTAAAAAGTGAGGAAATTATATGAATTCGCCACAGTGGAACTGGGCAACTGGGAACTGGAAGTCACATGTGGATTTATAAAAAAAATTTTTAAAAAACCCCAAAAACTGATGCCTGCACTCATTTTGAAAGGAACTTGAGCTGTGTTAAAAGTAGAATTAACCGATTATTTACATATCTAAATAAGTAATGAAAGTTTTAATACTTGTGGAGTACCTTGTGTTTTACTGTGTTCAATTGGCATTGCTTCTGGCATACATATACATATATAATTATCTTACTTGAAACTGGAGGTTTGTGGTTGTAGGTAGTTTGGGGTTAAAAAGGAGGCCAGTGTTTCTAGGCAGAAGTAAACCACTTACTGACTGCCCCTGATTGGCATTGTTAGTTCATTTCCCCCGCAAAGTTGTGTATAACAAGGTTGTCTTTTGTTTGATAATGTGAGTATGTGCAACTATGTGTCATCAAATGAGGGTAACTTTTTTAAAGGAGATTTTAGTACGTTCAAAGTAATTGTGTAATAAAATCTCTTCTCCTGTTCTGCCTTGCTTAGTATGTGAAAAGCATGGCAAAGGTAAAAACAGTGCTTTTTATGTTCAAAGCTGAATTTTGGAGAGTCGGACAAGACCACTTGTCACAAACGGGGGCATGAATTCCCTTCCATTAGTTGTTTCTCGGCTTTTTCTTTTGCAACAGTAAATAACCTATGTGACTAATGAGTTTTACTGTCCAGAGCTCTCCACAGCAGCTTTGAATCTGAGCACCTCTTGTTACTTTAGCTGCAGCTGATCAGATAGAAAGTGTGTACAGAGTCACCAGTTACCTATGAAACATTAATTTAAAAGAGAGATACTAATCTCTGAAGGTTATTCAAAGAGTAAATTTGGTGTCTTCTTCCTTTACTTAGCCAACACGTGTTGAGAGTTTATTCCCACACCCCATTCAAAATATCAGAAATTAGGACTTGTCTGAAGGACGTGGTTTGCCCAGCGAGAGGGTAGATGTGCGGTGGAGCTAGTGTTAAGATTCAGGACGTCAGAGGGATGTATGTGAAACTTCAGAAAGAGATTTGGAAAAACATTTTCAGCTTATGTTTTTAATCTTGTCCACCTGACTATATCATCAGGGCTTGTGGGCCAAAAGCTTCCAAGCTTTTGAACTTAGAAACATTCCTGACCCTGAAAGGGCAAAGAAGAGTCTTGCAAGTAGGCTTTCTAGTACACAAAAATGCTTTATTCTCTGAATCTGAAACTTTGAAGTAACTATTAGTAGGCTCCCTTTCCCTCTGTTTTACAGTGTTCTGACAAAAGCAAACTGCTGCCACTTTTTATTTTTATATTCAGCTTTATTGTTGCTTTCTAAACTTCAGAATCCTTCTTTCTGTGAGCAATTGTTTTTATTCTTGTGTATGAAACAACTAACTGATCTTCAGTTGCACATTCCATGTTGTCACAAGCTTTTTGCACAATTAGCCCAAATGCTTTTTTGTCTGTCCGTTACCACAGTCTTTTCTGTCAGTTGTGTTTGTGTGGAGTTTGTTCTTGTTCTCATCTCTCCAAACATGGCATTAAAGAAAAGTTTGGTTTTGTTATCATTAAACTTGTATCAGATACTAGTTCCCACTGACCCTGATAGCTTGCAAGTCTTCAGTTCTTTCTGCTTTTTATGCTCTCCATGTTCTCCCTTTTGTCTCGCCTTTGCTGAAGTCTGTTTTTAAAAGAAAATGTAGTGTAATCTGGAAAGTGGTGTTGCTGCTAAGCCTTCTGTTTTAGCATGTAAAACTTTGTATTAAGTGAATTTAAATTAATGTCATGGGTTTTGTTTTCACATTTGTCGTTACAGTTCTGTCACTTGTCTAATGCGCTCTAAAATTGCTCTGCTATTAAAAGCTCTGGTCTGACCATGCTCTTCAGTCCATGTTCCTGCTAGTTCACGTGTCCAGTCATACAGATACACAGCCAGTCGAATTGGCTCACTGCTCAGGCAGGAAAATGTGTATATATTGTTTGTTGGTTGGCAGAGGTAGTGTTTAAGATCAGTGAGCTGATGCAAATTCCTGCATGGCTCCCTAGGCACCGGTGTTGGTGCGAAAGGGTGTGCGTGGCTAGGAAGGGACCCATTGCTTGGCTTATGCTGAGCGTGGTCGGACTCCGTGCTGGGTCAGAGCTGATTGCATGTGAGAGTGGGGAAACGTGATGTGGGAGAGCTCAGTCATACAAATTCACAATAGCAGGTAGAGATTAAATAACATCTGAATTTGCGCTGGCTTTCGAATCGAATTAATGTCTAAGCCTTCACTGTAAGTTTTGGAAAAAAAATAAAATCTTCCATGTAGCTTGACACTGCATCTGCTCTTAAAGTTTGTCACTTGCGATTTGCAGTGAAAGTACATAGTCCCTATAGAAATATTATCCAATTAGAAGTAAAATTCCCCAGTTCCTTTTGGGTCACTCTGAAATAATTGTTCTAAAATGAATCTAAGTGTGTACAGATTGTATTTTGGGAGAGTTAATTACAAACTGTGTGGTTCAGGGATTTAGTGCACGAAGAGGAAGAACAGTTGATGGAAGAAAGGAAAAAGAGAAAAGAAGACAAAAAGAAGAAGGAAGCTGCTCAAAAAAAGGTATGTTGAACATTTAAAAAATAAAAACCCGTGCTTGTGGGTTACTTATGTTTCATCACTAGTAAATACTGTTTTAGCTGCTGTTATTCAGAAGTGTTTTCTTTTTAATTTAATGTTTTAAGCTTTAAATGTACTGTTGGTTACTTAGTGGTAACTGACATATTGAACATCTTGATTGGCTTTGTGTAGTTTCTTCAGAGATTAAATATTCTTCTGAAATGACCATTCTTTTTCCTGGTTGTCAGTTGAAGTGGTTTCACGTTTGAAAACTTCCTCAGTGTTAGAGCATTTATTAGTAGAATAAAATTACCGATTTTTTTTTTTTTTTAAGATAGTGGCTTCCAGCTGTATCCTTACTTTAATATATCTTCATATCCTTCAGTGTGGAAACATACATGTCATAATGCAATTTGCATTAGGGAGGGTGGATAAAAATGAAAATATTGGCAGCAAAGGTGTTCTGGGATGGAAACATCACAGAAATGCTTGTAAACACTTCAGAATTCCTGTTTCCTGTCAAGATATTGATCATGGCAGTTGATTCTAAATTTTGACCCTAAGCTTGAGAGGAGCTTGTAAATATGTTTTTAAAAACATGTTCATTTCAGGCTTGTATTTGCTAACTGGTGGTAGCAAAGTGAAGCTGCTTAATGTTTTTTCTTTGATTCCATCGACTAATGCTAGATATTTATTATACGGTCAAAAAATCAGTAGTCAGCTCTCCCTGTTTGTTGGCCTAAATAAAGGTGTGTGTTGTGCACCTGTACAAAATTAGGTATGTCTAATCTTGTAACAAATCTAGATGAAATAGTACTGGAGGAATACTCCTAGAAGAGGTATTTGCTCATATTTCAGAATGAGAGGTTCTTTTCAGTAGCAGACAGCAAAGCTGCATAATAATTTTTGGACCTCAATTGTAAATTTATAACTCATTTTCCTCTTGGAATTCTTTTTTAATCAGAAGTTGTAATGGAAAAGGAGCTGGTTTACTTGTAGAATTTGAATCTTTTAAGTAAGTGGTTCTTCGTAGCTGTCTTTTTCCTCCAAAATTCAGTATTTTTGTGAGTTTGAAAGGCATGTTTGAGAGTGAAATTTGTAGAAGTAAAAGCATAAATATTTTTCTGAAAGCAAAGAGACTAGACCTTTGCCTAAAAGTTAAAGTTTTGTTTACACTTTCTTCTGCTACGGAGCACCTGATAGACACTTCTTCAGAAGCCACAGGTCTTTACTGATGTGTTGTATTCTCAGAGGAACAAAATGTTGAGTGCATGGACTTCATACATGTTTCGGGAATTTAAGCAGCTTCTATGGACAAAGTAGTAGGATGCCACAAGGATGCTCGTGTGCATTCCTGGAGAAGCCTAAACTTGATCTAGATTAAAGAGAATATCCCTCTGAAAAACCATGGTAACAAACAACTGCCAGTTAACTTAGCTGTTTAAAAAAAAAATAAAAATCCTAGTACAGACGTGGTTGATTCTAGTTTAAAATGAAGACTTGTTAACGTAGGTCACAAGGAGGGCAGAATCCCTTTTCTATTCTGTTCTGTTAATATTTGTGGGTGGTTTCAGATTGACCAAAATTGCTCTTTTTGTTTTGTAAGCTAGCTTTTTCTGTTTGATCTCGTAAGAATGTACTGTTTTGTATTATCAACCATAGGCTCTCTAGCAAAAACTTTAAAGCATTTAACCGTGCACCGAGTACTGATATATTTTGGAAGTCCCTAGCTGAAAAATGTTCAATTTTTTTTTTCTTCTAGAGAGTAGCACCTTAGTATAAAAAGCAGTCAGTAGCCTTATCCTATGACCCTTTCTCTTCGCTGACCTCTTTGGGTGCTGTGGATAGTCAGAAACAGCAAAACATTTTTGAAAAATTCTAAGTTGTCTCATTTTCCTGTTCATGGGTCAAGTGCCAAGCTAATTAATTGATTTTTAACTCAAGTCACAATTGGGGAGGGGGGGTAAGATTACAAGCTCTCCAGAGTAAGCTCTAAACACGTGCATAGGCATGGCAAGAACTGGAGAGGCATCACGTAATCATACTGCGGAAGGAAAAGCTAATGCTTGGGTTTTATAGATACTGTAGTTTTCTAATAATTGGAACTAAGAAGAGTAGTAGGAGAACAGCAGCAATCACAGAGGTGTGACACTTAACAGAACCTGCCTTCTTTAAGTTGAGTAGTGCTTTTATCCTGATGCTGAGCAGCTTTCATGGGACGTCAACTGTTGTGTTCCATTTACCTTTTTATGATCATATAAAATTGTGTTTTGAACACCTGGTTCCAAGCCAGCTGCTGTGCATACAGTACCCTGGAGTTTGAAGTGCATATAAAACTTCCCAAGCCTTCAAAATATTTTTTTTTAAAAACCAGTTTTGTTGAACAAAGCATAATGAAAAGTTGTGGTGTTATGTAGTGTCCTTAAGTACAGCAATTGCCCTTTGGAGTGTGAGGAGGAGGGGCAGTGGTATTGGAGGAGTCAGGGTAATAAGGGTAAGATAGGCAAAACTGAAAATGAACGTGGTGTGGGTGTTTGATACACTCATGTAAGCAGCCATTGGCTTTATTTTTGCTTTCTTAATTCCAGGGGCTGATGCGTTACTGTTAGTAGAGTGGATTTTCTTCAGAAGAGATTTTACAGTCTTCAGCTATTTTTAGCAGTCTCTAAGGGCATAAATAAAAAAAAATGAAAAGCTTATGCTCAAGGTTTCTTGGGAGCAAGAGACTACATTTTGAACTGTTGGACAGTATAACAAATTTTTATATGCATCCTTGCCTTTGTCAGCTTAAGAAGTTGAAAAAGAGGGTTTTTCTGTTAATGTACTCTTGGATTCTTTAAGAGAAGTGAGGATATGGCACTGAAGGGACATTAATAAAGTTTCAGTAGTCAGCCCTAACAGTGCTAATGTCTGAATCTAACTGAGTCTTACATCAAATCAGTGAATTGATAAATTCTTCTTGCATTCACATGCACTCTTTTTTCTCTCTCCTCAAGGTTTTAATTATAGACAATCATAGCTTAAGTATTATCGCAAATTATTGCATACTATGAATATATGCAATATCATAATTAAAATGGGTTGTATACAGCTACCAAAGTGACCATATCAAATTAGATCTCATTTTGCTTTGGCAATAGTGCATTTTAAAAGTGATAATAAAACTCTAGTTTCAGATAGGAAGAACTATGATTTGTGCTTTTGAGAGGTCCTTCATGAAGTCAGTTTCACTATGTTTTATAGTTAAAACTGCACAGTTAAGGTGCAGTTAAGAACATTAAGAAATGTTTCTCTCCCCATTTTTATCCTATGATAAAATTTTATTCAAATAGATCTCTCATCTTGGCCATATCACAGGTGTAACCAGTTGAATCTTGGAAATGAAAGACTTAAAGCTTTTGCATTTACTTTCTTACTTCCTTTAAATTTCTAGGTCCCTCTCTCTTCCCCTGCCGTATTCTGCAATAAAAGTGGTGGGGGTTCCTTGCTTCCAGGCACAGTTTTTAACTCACTTCAAACATCTTAATTTGCAAGTTTAATTCAGTCTGTTTCATGTAGTTATCTTTCAATTAATTTTGTCTTCTATAACGTTTAAACAGCTTTCTAGGCATAAGGAATAATAGGCATGGGTTGGTTAGAGAGACACTTCTGAAGTAGATAATTAAATAACTTTAAAATATTTTAAAAGAGGAAAGTCAAAAGCTAATGTTGCTTTATGAAGTGGCACATGCACATGTGGTTTTTCTCTTATCTGCACAAATCACTGACATTTCTTTTTTCTTGTTCTAGGCCATTGAACAAAAAATCAAAGGTAAGTTACTTTAGAGTTATTTCTGTTCTGTATATTATTTCTGCATTTTTAAATATGTTGAATCAAATTGGTCATCTGAAAGCTCTTCTCAAACTAAAAGATGGGATCCTTGAAACTTCAGTTGCACTTTTTCAAACAGTGACCACAAAAGACTAGAAGAGCAGTGGCTAAGGGTTTATATTTGGGATTGGAGTCTGCTGTTCTTCCTGTTTTCCATTCTTAATTACTTATACAGGGTCAGATATACATAATACCTTGAGTTCTCTTCCTTATTTGCTTTTTTCCTTCCCCCTTTTTGCTTTGTTTGAGAAGTGCACAAACACTCTAACGCTTCAAGTATGACCATGTATAGATGCATGTAATGGATCTGTTTGAAACTTAATTATCAGATATTCTAAGTGCAGCTGGGCTTGGGAATGCTTGATAGACAAGTAATTGATAAGTCTAGTTTTAACTAACTATTGCGTGTGGAGAGTTCATCCTGACAAAATGATCAAGATGACAGTATCTGAAAGCTGTAATTTTGATGTTCAGTGGCAGGCTGGGAACACTGCAGTTATTCTGAATGTTTGTGGTTTTTATCCAGATCTCCATTCCTACCGGCTTCTATAAAGGGGAAAAAAAGATTCTTTTCACTTTCTTTTTAATTCTAGCTCATAACCTGTTAGTTGGGAAGTGGAGAATAATTGCGTAAGTGATCATGTGGAGTGCTTGCTGAATCCCTGTTTTCTGGGAACATTGGGTTTAATTTAATACTTACTTGAGCAGTGGTAGAAACAGGAGCTCGGAAGCCCTGCTTAGCGGAGATGCAATTACTGTTGGAAAAATCAAAAAGTGTTTGAAGTGCTGTTCTGGTATGAAGCTGGTAAAATGGTAGAGGACATACTGCGCTTGAGAAGAGGCAAAGAAACAAATGAAAGTGTCTGTTCCCGAGGCGTGTGTTTGAAGAAGCGTGCTAGTTTGCATGTGGTTGAAATGGAGGAGGCAGGTTCTCTGTGTAAAAAATGCGCCGATTCTCCTGCTGAGGACTGCAGTACCAATTACCAGGTATCAGGAGACATGATTATGTCTAGTTTATTTAAGTGTAATGTGTACTTTACTGTGTGTGTTTAAAGGGGGGGGAGATTGAGTAGGACCAATAGGTTTTCAGTGTGTGACGATGCTCTGCGGAGGGAACGAGGGCAGCCTGGGTTCTGTGTCTTGGGGAGTTGTTCTGTGTGATGCTTTGAGGAGGCGGATGTTTTGGTTATGGAGTACTGATTGCCTGAGGCAGAAGGAGCTGCCAGAGCATGGTGGCTGCAGGAGTGTTAGTGCACCGTTCCTACAGCCGATGTCAGTAATGGAAGCTTATGTTCTATATGTGCAACCATCCTGTGGGTTTCCTTGTACTGACTGTAGGTCCTGGCCCTTCCAGCCTGACTCTGGTCACTGAAATCAGCTGGGAATTCTATGTTTGTCTTTAGGCGCAGGACTGGATACTTAATAAAAGTGCTGGAAGAGTATTATAATTAATAAATAGTCTTCACTTGTTTTTTAAAGCACCCTTTTTCAAGCAGTGCATGGAATTGCATTTGAAGTACAGGCTGAGTATTTGTTTTCTTCTGTGTATTCCTGCCATAAGGCTTCTAAGATAATATACCAGATTTAAAGAATTGTGAAAGTGTTTGGTTTTATTCTGAAGTAATAAAATATATCTGAAAAGATAGTGAAGAAGGAAAACTATAAAATACTTTGCTGTAAATAATAACGTCCATTTTGAATGAACATTTGACCTATGTACTTATGCTGCACTGGCATCCATGCGTCCCATCAGGGACGAGGCTGCAAAAGCAAATGGCTAAAAATAGCATGAAGACAGGAGGGCAGTAATTCTGCTCAGTAGGCTACCTGATGGTAATCTTCAAATTGAAAGAAAATGCCTTTCTTTTGAAGGACAGAGTAAATCTTCCCCCCTCCCCCCATTTTCTCCTTGGAGGCCTGATATTTACTGATGGAAATATTAAGTTCCAACTTTAATGTTACATTATTATTAAAAGGGTATTTCAGCAAGTTTAACAACTCTAAATTCCTGCTAAAGAAACGCAAGCTGACGGTCCTTCTGAAGTACAGACATTATGGGATTCAGATATGCAACTTTTTGCAACAGTTTCTGTAGGAACAAAATTTGTTGCTTATGTTGCACATAGCTCTTTCATTGTTTCAATAGTTTTGCCTACTTGTATTCAGGATGCAAATTAATGTTTCATTAGTTTCCAAGTTTCCATCGCGTTAATGTCTTAAATAATTTATTCTGTGCATGAGCTGAAGATAAAATACAAGAGTATAGGATCTTTAAATAATTCAGAATTATGTTCCTTCTTTCAGAACAGTAGCTGGTTAAGTGGTGGGGGTGGGTAGGGAGGGAGGTTATTTCTCGGTTTTAAGCGTAGTTTGGATGGCTCCAAAATGTTGTTTTAGCTAAGGTAGAATTTGTTGTTGAACCAGCTGAAGTTGCTACCAGTACTCATGTAAAATTATAAGACTACCTTCCGAGGAGGTTAATAGTGCTGATTTTTTCTTCTTCTTCCTGTTCAGGATTGGGAATGGAAGTAATGAAGATGATGCTAATATAAATGTTTCTGGTACAAGTAGCATTTTAATACTGTAGTATTAAAAATGCATGTTTGTCATTCCTGTGGATTTCAAATATTCTAACCTGTCTAGTTTTATACATCTGGTTTTATTAAAAGAGGAAAGAGGCAGTTCATAGGAGTCAGAGATGAATGTATTATTTAGTTGCTAAGTGGAAGGCTTCTCTGTGCAGCAGCTAGCGTAACAAATTCGTACATCCACAAGTGCCCTCCAAGTGCTCTTGTACCAGGTATTTTAGGAAAAAATAAGTATCATTTTAAAGTCCTTATTTGTTGAGAATACTGCAGAATTGTCGGTTGTTGTGGTATTCCTTCTAGCTTGGCAAAATATGTATTTTTGCTGTGTTTGTCAGTACTATTAAAGACAGACAAATCAATCCATTTACCCTGAATTTCTCCTAAAACAGGACTGCAAACTGCACTGTGGCCAGGAGTAGCTAATGATAAGCCAAGCACTAAAGTAAATGCTATTTCGGAAGAATACTTGAGTTTTGTTGTACATGCTCACTTCAGCAATCGTGGTGTACTTCTGCAGAATGAGATTTCATTATGAGATGAAATATCTTTTTGCACACGCTTTAGTGTATGTACATAATACCCTAGTGAAGTAATTTATAAAGTTTGAACAGTAATGTTTCTGTTAATGCCAGTGTTGTGGTTAGTTGTTCTGAATGCTTTTGTGCTTTGTGAAACAGTACAAGCTAGAGCTAAAAACATCTGTCAATCTTCAGTTCTGAATTCCCCTGCGCTGTAGAAGGCAGAGGCATAAAGTACGACTTTTATTGCAGAACAGAATAAACTTTGAATCAACCACTGAAACGGAAAGTGCTTTTAAAAATAGCTGGGTGTGGAATTGAAATCTTTGACTCATATTTCCCACCTTGGAAACTTCTTATTCATTTTCTTCTCTGTGAAGCAAAACTGCCTGAATACACTAACTCTTCTGTTTTTTGTTGTGTTGTTTTTTTCACTTGCCTAACTATGCTTTTCCTGATTGGAAAAACTGTTATGTTAGCTTTTAAATCTTGAAAGCAAATAGCAAAAATGAACAGAATAAGAAATGCTTGCTGTTAAAATTACCCATAGGAATGGCATACAACTTACCTTTGTGCGGATCTTCAGGGGTTAATGAATTGGCAAACAGTTAGATATTTTCCAGATCAGCTAGCTGAGCTTACAGCTGCGGCCATTTTTCCACAACGAAAATTCTAGCACTACATCTTACGTGTGTCAGCTTGAAAGCCAGACTTCCTCTGTTTGCCCTTCAGCATTCCAGCACTGACAACTCTTTGGGGCATGACACGCAGGGAGAGAGCATTACAATACATTTTTAAGAGGTCAGCTTCAGCAGCAGCAAGAAGAAACATTTAAATGACAGCTTGGTGCTGCTCTTTGTGTGGTTTAGTAGCCGATTTGATCTTTGTACGCTGATTTTGTGCGAGTGAGAAACTTTTCCATCTGCATTAAAGTTATTCAAGCAGCTGCCATTTTTTTTTATTGGAGGGGGAGTTTAAGTCACTGGGCCCCTACTCCAGGAGGAGTTGGCAGGCAGCACTCCTGGAGCAGTAAAATGACACCATGCTTCTCCTCCATTTTCTAATGAAATCTGCAGAGTGGGAAAGCAACACAAGTTGGAAGCGTCTGTCTTTGGAATCTCTCTGTAAACTGTAACTTCACCATCCCCTGCTTTGTGGGTTTTCAGCAGGTTTGTTCTTTATGAAAATCTGTCATTTTTAATACTCGTTTCTGTAAACTTGCTATTACTAGTCAAGTAAATTAACTGTGATAGACTGTAAGTCTGTTAATATTATCTTTCTGCCTTAATATGGTTCAAAATAAAATACTGGTGTGCAGAACAAACTTTTATTAAATGAGCAACTTGTTTATAACAAATTAAAACATTAAGATAATGATTAAGGGGTGTTGGAATTTATAGTAGCCATATTGGAATATTAATGTATTATTTAGCCTTCTGAGAAGTTGGGGACCAGAAAATGTTGGACAGGATAAATTGTATAGCTTCAAACTTATTCTGTGGTACTTAGGGAAGCGAAGGCGAGGGAATTCTGTTGCACTTCTGATTAATTTCAGTTTGAAATTAACCTATGAATGTAAATTCTGCATATTCTTTAGTATAATCATATTATCTGGTAAGATTTCTATTTAGTTTGCTGATCGTAGTAGAAAGAATTAACCATATTTGCTAAGGAAATGAATGCATAGAATATATGAGAAATACAATTTTCTTAAACTGTTTGTGAAGTCTTGTTCATGTCGTAGCTTAGGGGCTGGCTTGGCAGAAAGTAGCTTGTTTATTAGTTGCACTCTTTTATAGTCGAAAGTGATTCGATAACAGAATCCCATGGACTTGCAGGTAATGATATGCACTTTGTCTTAAAGTAGCTTTAATTAGGAAAGTAAAGTATAAATGTTGCTGCGTTGCAGTACTGCCCTAAACATGCTACTGCAACTCTGGATGTCTCGTGGAATGTCATATAGAAATGATTTTACTTTATCTGAGAGGAGCGATTGTGTGTGAATGGTAGTAGTAGTGTAGGAAAACTGAATGTCTTTCATTGATCATGTTATGGGGTGTTGTGTGTGGCATTATAAATCTCTTCAAGCGAGGTGTACTTTCCACTTAAGCTGACAATAAAAAAAAAGCTTAAATACAGTGCGCAGGAGGCTGGAGGATGTATGTGTCCCTAAGTGGTGGCAGTACTGTATGACTACTTTGTTGGTTTGATAACAATATACTGGCTGCAAAAAGTGGTTGTTTTCCGTGTATCACTGTCAGCACACCTCAGGTGTAGGCTGAACTGTGCTTTAAACTGTAAAGAGTAATTAGTGTGAATCAGTTGCAGCAGGAGGCATATTGATAGATCAAAAAGTTAAGATTTGGGCAGTAGTTACACAGATTGTGGCATGTGAAGAAATTTTTTTTTTTATTTCAAAACTTGTTGCAGTACCTAGACCACAGAAGTGTGCTAAGTGCTTATGCATTAAATTGTTGACAAATTCTTACATATTTGCTAAAATAATGTCCCCCACCCCCCAAAATTTAGTAATTTTCAGTTATTTTAATTATTTTTAAACCAGGAAATTTTAAAAGGAATAAATGGAAATAGATTTGTTTAAGACTTCTTTGTATTTGTGGAATTCAGTTTTGATGGTTATTTTTGTCACATTATATGCTTCAGAACATTGTGTAAGGAATCAGTTGCCTACTTTTTTAATGTAGGTAACAAATTGATGGAATCTGATATGGTGTTGGTGATTTTTATCAACTTGCCAATTTATCATAATAGCTTTTGAATACCTTCTATTCCCCATGCTCTGTATATTAAATTGACTTACGTCTTGGCCATTCCTCTCCTTAATTCTGTCCTTCTCCAGTCAGCTGTGAAATAGAGAGGGCTGGGTCGCTGCTGTGTCAGAGCAGGGGAGATGGTGCGGCTGCGGAGCGAGGGTGTTGGTGAGCAGCTGAAGCTGGGTATTCCTCCTCTCCCCTTGAGGCTTTGGTCAAAGGCCTGTATCTGGCCACCTGTGAAACAAGGAGGTCCCTAAAATTTTTCTTTCCTACTTCTCTTAAGTAGCCTAAATATAATACATTAAAACTACTTTTTTGGTCACGTAGT